ATGGCCTGGGAAAACAGTGGAAGATGTCCCATGTCCTTGGGCCCCTGCATCCATGTGGGAGACCTGGAAGACATTCCTGACTCCTGGCTTCAGATGGGCCCAGCTGCTGTGGCTATTTAGGGACTGAACCAGCAGATGGAAGACCTTTCTTTCTGTCTCTCCCTTTCTCTGTCTGTAACCCTACATCTCAAATAAGTAAATAAAAATCTTTAAAAAAAAAACTACCATGCCTTTATATTTGTTGTAATGACATGAGGCTTACCATTATCATTTCTGAGATTGATTCGAGGAAGAATAAGAGAAAAGACAGTTACAAACATAAAGTGACAATAAAAGTTAAAGAGAATTTGATTTTAAACATTTCTAAACCAATGCTTTTGTTGATTCTGCCTGCAGTACCCTTCCCACCTTCTTGCTTGATTAAATTCTACTCATCTTCCAGACATAACATAGTGGGTATTGCCACAAAAGAACATACCCTTAAACCCTCATAGGCTGAGCTATATGCTACTTTGCTGTTAAATAGTATACATATAATATCCGGTCTTCCAGCGCCTCCTATACTATTTCAAAACTTATGTTTGGGGATAAGAAAACAAGGATATAGACACAGGTGTCCTATTCTCTCCTAACTCTACACTGAACTGACCATCTGTTTACTAAATTATGGGCTATTAAAGAGAAGTACCATTGCTTTATGCAAATAATAACTATTTAACATTGAAAAATAAAATATAGTTTATGAGGCCGGCGCTGTGGCTCACTAGGCAATCCTCCGCCTTGCGGCGCCGGCACACCGGGTTCTAGTCCCGGTCGGGGCGCCGGATTCTGTCCCGGTTGCCCCTCTTCCAGGCCAGCTCTCTGCTGTGGCCAGGGAGTGCAGTGGAGGATGGCCCAAGGGCTTGGGCCCTGTACCCCATGAGAGACCAGGAGAAGTACCTGGCTCCCACCATCGGATCAGCGCGGTGCGCTGGCCGCAGCGCGCCAGCCATAGCGGCCATTGGAGGGTGAACCAACGGCAAAGGAAGACCTTTCTCCCTGTCTCTCTCTCTCACTGTCCACTCTGCCTGTCAAAAAAAATAAAAAAAAATATATATATATAGTTTATGAAATACTTTGGAATCATTAAAAAGAATAGGGCAACACTGTCTGCTGACAAGAAAAGATTTTTGCTGACATGAAAAGATCATCAAGACACAGTATGTAAGAAAAAGGTAATGAATAGTTTTATAGAGCTGTTTTTCTAAAACATAATATAAAATATGTATGTGTATGTATATTTTCTGCAAAGATACATAAGTAACCAGTAACATGAGTATAGAGACTTATTTGTATTTTCATATTTTTTCATGTTAATTTAATTTCCTAACTTAAATGATTTCTACTAAATTTTTTTAAGTTATAAACAAAGATTATCTGAGTCCTATGACTGAGAGTTTTTTTTAATCTTTGTGAGTGAAGATGATATCTTACACATTTTTATATAACTACCACTTAGTGCAGAGCAGAACATGGTTGACATTCATTGATGTTTGCTAAACTGAACTCTGTGTGACATCTATCTGAGTTTCTTACTTCTTTCCTAAAGTACTCTTTATGTACTGCAGCCCATTTGTTTTTATTACATACAAAGTGCCACACACAGTGACTTGAAAACAGCACTGGCTACTTTCAATGCTTATTCAATCCAACCAAATATTCTTACCTGTATGAAATGGATGTGCCAAGGAAAGGACAGTGATTTTTTTTCTATTCCTAGTCACTTGTTTTCAATAATATATTCAACACACACTATATAAACATTCATTTTGAGTCAATGGGTGAACTAATGTTAATGATACAAAAGTAAATAAAACTCAGTGTCTATACTAGGAAGCCTCATGAAGCTATACAAAGTTTCTTTGGCAGGAAGGAAATGTTAGTGACCGAGTATGTGGAGACGGCCATCTTCCTTCGCTCTTCAGGCTCATTAAAGGTCTATCTAATACTAATATTCAAGTCCATTTTATTCAGAGTACACGGTCAATAAATCCTGTTATAGATAAATGCAAAAATGTTAGAAAAGGTACCTGAAGACTGATATTAAGGGGACTGGCAAAGGAATAAGTAGTCAATCTCTTTTATTAATTCTTTTTACCTTAGTGAGCAGCTTTTGCCAGTTCCTTTAAGAAAAAAATTAAAGAATCAGATATCAGATGAAACTGTACCAATGACATTTACTGGTTGTCATAAAATAAGGAGAGACACCTAAAGAATCTCATTACATATTTGAGGAAAACTGACAAAGAAGAAATAAAATTACTCAGAACCCACACATACACCCATTAACTTTCATTTAAATATGAGTTAGGAAATAAACATCTCAAATCAGCAGAACCAGGTCTGGGCATCATTCCATAAGGACAGCAAGATGGGCAATGTGGAGAAAAGGACATGCTAGTGGAATACATGGGCCAAAAGAGAATCTCTCATTCTTGGTGGGGAAGTACAGAGACGAGATCTGAGAGGAATGGCTGTTAGGGTCCAGTAGGATCAGAGATGAGGTTCTAAGGAAAGTCCTCCTGAAGAGGAGAGGGACGCAGCTAGGAAAAGGAAGGCATCCTTGGGGACAATGATAATTAAGTGAAAGAAGGAAGCAGGAAGCTGAAATTAAAGATTTTAAATGTAGGAAATTATCTGAATCTAAAGACACATCAAACATCTACATATGTCTCTAAATTGGGCGGCAAGATGGCGGAATAGGAAGGGAGCACACTGATAGTCCGGGAAGAGACAGTTTAATAAAAGTGGAGATACTGCAGGTTCAAGGAAGAGTAGGGGAAGAAACAGCAGAGGAAACTCTTCTGGAACTAGTGATTCACGGTGGACCTGCGTGGAGTGCGTGGGAGCCCACAGTTCGGGACACCAGCAGCAGACTCAAAACACCAGCGCGCTGGAAAGCAAGCTGTGCGGAATTACTTCCCTTTTGAATCAAAAAAAGAAAGAGAGAGAGAGAGAGAGAGAGAGAGAGAGAGAGAGAGATTTACCACGCCTAACCTGGGAGTGTCACCTTTGGCATACCCTTAACCCTGAGGAACCAAACAGAGCTCTCAGGCCACACCCATCTCAAGCCTCTAAGGCTCCATCAAAAGCAGATAGTCCACTTAATCTAGAGTCATAGTATAACAAGAAAAAACACCACAGCAAAGAAACCAAAGAGTATCTCCACAATGCCAAACAAACGCAGAAACCGAGGTAACAAGAACAAGGAAGACACTACGACACCCCAAAATGATAAAGACACCCCAATTCAAGATTATGAAGATGACGAGATAGAAGAAATGCAAGAAGCGGATCTCAAAAAATTGATAAGAACATTAAGAAGTTCTCAAAAACAAATTATTGAACTACAGAAATCCCTACTGGACAGGATAGAAAATCTCTCTCATGAAAATGAAATATTAAGGAGGAATCAAAATGAAATGAAGCAACTAGTAGAACATGAAACTGTGATAGTGACGAGAAATCATAATGAAATGAAGAATTCAATAGATCAAATGACAAACATATTAGAGAGCCTTAAAAACAGAATGAGTGAAGCAGAAGAGAGAATATCGGACTTAGAAGACAGAGAACAGGAAAGTATACAGTCAAACCAAAGAAAAGAAGAGGAAATTAGAAATCTAAAAAATATTGTTGAGAATCTACAAGATACTATTAAAAACCCAACATTCGGGTTCTAGAAGTTCCTGAAGGCATGGAGAGGGAAAAAGGATTAGAATGCCTTTTTAGTGAGATACTAGCAGAAAATTTCCCAGGTTTGGAGAAGGACAAACTGTAGAGCTCTGATTGTAATTTTTTTCATTTCTTTTAGGAAAGATATAGAAATATTATAAAAGTAATGTAAAGATTTGGAGTACACAGTTTAGAAGAAATGCTATTCTCTATTTTTGCATTCACATTTTCCTATAACTTTTATCGTGAAAATCTTTATACTTCAGAGCAAGTACTGATGGCATGACAATCATGTATTCCCTCAGTAAAACTATTGCTAAGTTTTTGCCAGTTTGCTTTCTCCCTCGCACCTCATCTCTACTTAGTCATAATTTTATTATTATGCACCTTTCCTAAAATATGCTTTCTACAACACAACAGAGAATTCTAATTCGATTAACTCTATTTCAGAAAAATCTTTGCCAGTTATAGGGATGACTTTTGTTTTACTTGCTTTCATTTCAATAGACATACAACTACTTTTTAAAAATTTTATTTAAGGTATATAAATTTCATGCATTCCATCCCTCCCTCCTGCGCATGCTCCCATCCCTATTCCTCCTCTCTCTCCTACTCCCACTCTTAATTTTTACGAAGATCTATTTTCAGTTTTATACCTTTTGCATTGGACTAAATTTTAGATGATCAAAATTTCATATTGAACTGGGTTTTAAAACTTAGATAAAGAGCCATCCAGAGCTGCTCTGAATGAAATGGCTGCAGAGCACCTCGAACCTTCCCACCTACTACTTGGTTTCTTGAGCACCTTCCAGTCCAGCGGACTTAGTTTGAATACAAATATTTTAATGTAGTCCCACCATTTTACAGTGTTCTAAAATCCTAGTTTGCTGGCCCTTCAAAATGCAAAAGAACTTTCGTTTTTGGAATATCAGTGTTCATTCAAAAAAGGGGAAGACAATGAAAGTGAAAGCAAATCAAGGGGCTCTATAATCAAGACAAAAGCTTTACCATCTAAGTAAATATATGCCCCACAAGTATTTTTAAACAGAATTCCTCTAAAATATATACTACATAAAATCTTCAAAATTTCCAGCCCTCACCAAGATTAGAAATTCAAAATATAATGAAAAAGAGATGATATATCAAATTTCAATAATACTGAAAAATTAAAATTGCGAGATTTCCTAAATATTAATTAAAATCACAATAATGCTCAAAAAGGAGAAATAGAAAACAGCCATTATGTTCCAATAAATAAACATTATGACACATGGAGAACTTTGTACCTTTAGGCTGGTTTTCAAACTCTTCAGATAAGAGGTGGTAGCAACAACCCACACTGCAAACTCCCTTGATTTCAGAGTTGGAAGTAAATATTCGCAGAGTATTTGGAGCAAGATCACCACAGGTATGTAGACCCACCATCAAACAATCCTTTACAGACAAGAAAAATAAATAGTGGCAATTAAAACGAGGGATAAATTCAGGATAAAACATTCAAAGCCTAGTAGCACTGTAAAGTTTTTTTGTTTGTTTGTTTGTTTTTGGTTTGTTTTTTAATTTGAGAGGCAGAGCTAGAGAGAGCCAGAGACAGAGAGAGAGAGACAAAGGTCTTCCAACAACTGGTCCATTTCCCAAATGGCTGCAAAGTCTGGAGCTAAGCGGATCAGAAGCCAGGAGCCAAGAGCTTCCTCTAGGTCTCCTACAAGGGTGCAAGGGCCCAAGCACCTGTGTATCCTCAACTGCCCTCTCAGGCCACAGCAGAGAGCTGGATTGGAAGAGGAGCAGCCAGGACACGAATCGGCGCCCATTTGGGATGCCAGCACCACAGACAGAGGTCCAGCCCATTATGCCACAGCAATGACCCCTGTGAAGATTTTTTATACTTAAGAAATTATACATAGAAGTATTTTTTTAATTTTCATAACGAATAATTATTTCCTTTAAAGGCAAAATGACTGTGGTATATTAGCAAAACAATTGCACTGTCATCTGTGCTTTTGCTTCCTTGTTAATCTTTGTTTTCTCTATTCATTTACAACTAATATTTGCTTAAAACTAGTAAAAGTTTGGATCAATTAAATGTCGCATACATTACCAGGCAAACTCATGATTTCAGACATGTTTATAACATACCTTGGTCATACTAGTCAATTTTCTTCACTGACTTCACAGATTGTTATGAAACATTAGTGTTAAATTTTAAGATGCACTAAGTGGGCACTCCTATTCTAACTCTGACAAATTTACTTAGATCATTCTTTGTACAAAATATGACAATATGAAATTAAATACAAACTTTTTTTCTAGGAGTGGCATTTATCCCAGCAGTTGAAATACAAGTTAAGATGCACACATTCCATACCAGTGTACCAGTGTCTGATAAACCGCTTCAGCTCCCGAGTCAGCTTCCCACTAATGAGACCATGGAAGCAGTGGTAATGGTTCATCAGATTGGGTTCCTGCCACCATGTGGGAGCCCTGGATTGAGTTCCCGGCTCCCTGCTTCCGCTCTGGACCAGATTTCACCATTGTAGGCTTTTAGAGTCAAACCTGAGGATGGGACTTCTCTATTCATCCTTCTGTCTCCCCCTCTCTCAAAATCAAAACAAAGTATAGATTTTTTAAGTATGAACTTTATACAAAAATTCTACAAAATATTTTTTATAATTAACCACAGCCTAATTAAAATGTATTTACACCCACACGGGTACAAATGTTCAATATAGCAATCATTATTGTCTCTGACAAGATTCTTAGAAATTTGGTTAAAGTGTTAATAAGGGAGATTTTCATACCTATTAGAATGCAACTTTTATCATTTGGAAATAAAAATATTTTTGGAGAACTTCTAATATTATACTTCCGATTTTCTAGCTGACATTCTTTTTTTTTTTTTTTTTTTTTTTTTTACAGGCAGAGTTTGACAGTGAGAGAGAGAGACAGAGAGAAAGGTTGAAAGGTCTTCCTTCCATTGGTTCACCCCTCAAATGGCCGCTATGGACGGCACGTTGCGCCGATCCGAAGCCAGGAGCCAGGTGCTTCCTCCTGGTCTCCCATGCAGGTGCAGGCCCAAGCACTTGGGCCACAACAGAGAGCTAGACTGGAAGAGGAGCAACCAGGACAGAACCGGTGAATCAAAAAAAGAAAGACTAGAACCAGGGTACCGGCGCCGCAGGCAGATGATTAGGTTAGTAAGTCAACCCCAAACAGTTCAAAGATCACATTATTAGTTTAAGATCTGTGATTCTATTAAATGTATATTTATTTCTAATAAAAAAAAACACTAAATCATCATCATGGGTCTCAAAGTATTATCTTTGCAAAACCCTGGCTACTGCAGTCATATGAGGAGTGAACGAGCAGATGGAGATGTCACTCTCGCTTTGCCTCTCCCTCAGTCACACTGCCTTTCAAATAAATAAATCTTAAAAATCAAAATAGGATAACTCCCTACCATTGACCCCTTGGGGACATCCTGGCGCTGCGGCTCACTTGGCTAATCTTCCGCCTGCGGTGCCAGCACCCCGGGTTCTAGTCCCAGTTGGGGCACCGGTTCTAGTCCTGGCTGCTCCTCTTCCAGTCCAGCTCTCTGCTGTGGCCCGGGAGTGCAGTGGAGGATGGCCCAAGTGCTTGGGCCCTGCACCCGCATGGGAGACCAGGAGAAGCACCTGGCTCCTGCCTTCGGATCAGCGCGGTGCGCTGGCCGCAGTGCGCCGGCCACGACGGCCATCGTAGGGTGAACCAACAGTAAAGGAAGACCTTTCTCTCTGTCTCTCTCACTGTCCACTCTTCCTGTCAAAAAAAAAAAAAAAAAAAAAATCCCTGACATACAAAAAAATTCACTAAATGTTTTCTATGCTTTCTTATTAGATTTATCTTAATGATAAATTAAATAATAAAAGTATGAACTTGGCCGGCGCTATGGCTCACTAGGCTAATCCTCCGCCTTGCGGCACCGGCACACCGGGCTCTAGTCCCGGTCGGGGCTCCTGATTCTCTCCCGGCTGCCCCTCTTCCAGGCCAGCTCTCTGCTGTGGCCAGGGAGTGCAGTGGAGGATGGCTCAAGTATTTGGGCCCTGCACTCCATGGGAGACCAGGATAAGTACCTGGCTCCTGCCATCGGATCAGCATGGTGCGCCGGCCGCAGCGCACCGGCCACAGAGGCCACTGGAGGGTGAACCAACGGCAAAAGGAAGACCTTTCTCTCTTTCTCTCTCTCACTGTCCACTCTGCCTGTCAAAAAATAAAAAAATAAAAAAAAAATAAAAAAAAAAATAAAAGTATGAACTTATAACTCAAGTATATTTTTATAATTATTTTCTGAATACAATGGTATCATTTAACTAAAAATGTTATCTTATCCTATGTAATCTAGACATAATTTAAACCTTTGTTTAAATTCCAGTTCAGTCACAAGAGTTATTTTTACAAAGAAGTAGCTCCGCATAGAACACTCAGTTACTTCAACCACAATTCTTTTAAAGCAGTTTTTAGAGGATTGTGTAATTATTTTTTCTTGATGATTAGATGTTCTGAAAAGGCATTATTTAGATGCTAAAATGTTACAAGTAAAAAAGAATTCAGTCAGAAAATGTTTCCACAAAGGTATACTTTTCTCTTTAAAATTAATTTAGTTCTCCCTAAAGACAATACAAGAACATTTAATCTCACTGTTCACATATTTATCATGTAGGATTGGTTAATAACATTAGCAAATAGTACCTAAGAAACAAAAATATCACAAGCTTATCTCAACAGGAAAATATACAAGTACTGTGTGGGGGGCTGGGTGATGGGAAAATGAGAGGTGTTTGCTAATTCCTATTACTAAATGCTAATGCACTATGGAATCCAAGAAACAGTGTTCTAGCGTATCTTATTTTAGACACTTTTATGAGCTTGCATACAATTTTGATCATATATTTTGAACAAGATTTTGATAAACTTAAAAAAGTAACAGTATGCACTAAAAGTTCTTATTTTCTAAAGTCAGCTTAAGGTTGTTGGGGTGGTTTAACCCTATTAGAAAAATTAAGGATAATCTAACTATGGATTTCATATATGGGAATGACAATTTAGTGAGTATTAACTAGTTTCCTTTCACTTTGCTGCTACTCAAAATTATCAGGGGAAAAATTTTCTTCAGTTTAAACATGTAAAAAAACCGGTTAGCTACCAGGCAAGGATTTAAACTTATAAAAGAATTCTATCCTTTGCTATTTATTTCTTCACCAAAGAATTTTTGAAATGTTTAAAAGAGTACAAAAGGCAACTCCAAAAGCTATCTTGTATTTTGAAACAATGAGTTAGGTCAATTGATCCAGGAACTTCTGTACAATATTGCTTCAACATATAACGCTACCTGTATTTATGATTTACTGTCTCTCAGTTATATAATTGAAATTCTTGCAATTTAGAAAAAGTTCAAGCTTTAACGAATACTCAAGAAGCTATTCTTGCTCAAAGAAATTGCCTATGTGGTCACTAAGTAGTAAACATAACTTGCCTTAGATATATCTTTACTTCAAATTTACATTAAGATATTAGAGTTTTCTTGTGTTGTAATCTTAACAAAGCCTAAGTTGCAAAATGATAAATTAGCTTAAGTACTAGCTTTTGTTCTTATGTTTGATTTAGGAGGATTGAAATTAGCAGATTACTCTAAAACGTGCTCTTCTCAGATTTTGATAGCCGTGGGTATAATGAAAGCCTGCTTATGATTTTATCATAATCTTTTATATCAATGTGATTAAATATGACATGTATGTTAAGTAAGCTATTAAAACTGAATTCTATGTTTAAAATATTTTTCAAAGTAAATTGAGAAATTTAAAACAGAAATCACCTCCAGATCTTTAATAATATCATGCAGTTCTGAATCAGCAGTGATAAAAGAGGTTAAAGGTGAATAAATATTTGATTCATGTGACTTTGATGTCATTTTTCTTCTCTCTTTATTTTCTTCAAGCATTTCTATTTCTTTACTAGGTATTTGTGATGAAGAAGTAGGCTCTGAGGAATTAACAGGCAAAAGGTCTATAAGGGACAACGCATTATCAAAACAAAAATTTTCTTCTAGATGTGACTGAGTACGTAGGTTTTCCATTTTTTTTCTGATGTGAGAAATTACAGATTCTGAAACAGCTGGCAAAAAATTTGAGGCTGATATTTTTTCTTGATTTGCCGGTCTGTTGTTACAAATTTCCGCAATACCTGCTTTATATTTCATTTCATTTCGTTCTTTGGTCTCTGTTGCCATTTTTAATGTCAGTCCACTGACATCCAATCTTGACTGAGTATGATAGAGTTTGCAGTGTTTCTTCAATTTCCTGTTTCTCTCTTCAGCTCCATGAGTATTAGTATTTGAGGAATCAATTCCATACACTTTTAAGCCATATTTCAAGGACAAAAAGGAGCTTAGGTAGCCTTTACCAGAACCCAAGTCAATTATCTATAGGAAGGAAAACAAAATGAATTAAGAATTTTATTGAACTCATAACAGAAAGCATTCCAGATGTTTTTTAAACCTAAATAAAAAATGAGTGGGATACTTTATATAATCTGTTTGTTTGTTACTCTATTTCAATTTTTTGATTCCTATTAAAAACTACTCTGATTATTTTTATTCAAGTTTTCTTGCAAGTTCTAGCAAGAATAGTTAAGTCAAAGAAGAGAAGTAAAATATATAAATATTGGAAAGGAAGAAGTGAACTGTCTTCAACCATAAATGATATGATTGTATCCACAGAAAATCCTAAAGAATACACATAAAAGCTAACAGAAAGAGTAGGTGAATTTTCCAATGTATCATGGCCCAAAACCACTATTAATCAGCCATAAATAGTTGGAAAGATTATTGTATTGAAGCAAAGAATAATTTAAGACAATTGAACTAAAATAATATAAAAACAGAACATTCTGGAATTAGTGTAAGACCTATAGACTGATAAACTAAAATATTGTATTGAAAAAATTTCAAAAGATCTAAAGAGCTATACCATGTTCATAAAATAGCAGGTCCAATACTAAAACAGCAATTTTATCAAAACTGACACACAGATTCACTACCACCCTAATCAAAATTCTAGCAGGGCTTTCTGAAGAAACTGATAAGCTGATATTACAATATGAGCTGGCACAGTACCTATAACAGCAAAAACAATTTTGAAAAAGAATGAGGCTGAAGGATTTTACAAAATCAGGTATAAATATAAAAATATTGTATGTAGTATTTAGTAGTACTAATATAAAAATAGACATATAAATCAAAGAAAAAAACAGAGTCCAGAAGAGATCCACACTTAAAGAATAAACTGAGTTTTGACAAAGTATCCAACATAATTCAATGGAGAGGATACTCTTTTCAACAAATAGAATAACTGGATATTTGAATGGAAATGTGGGGAGCAACCCGGACTGGACTGAGTTACTGGAATTAAGACTTATTCTATGCATCTGCTCTCCCACAATATGGCGCTGGGAGAGGAGAAAACAGCTTCTACGCAGCTGCCTCTTGCCAACTTGAGTGATGACCTCCAGGAGCTGATCCTGCTCCTGATTGGAGGAGAGCAGCGTGCTCGGCGTGTGGGCAGCCGAGTTGGGATTGGTGGAAGAGGACTATAAAGGAGGAGAGAGACAACATGCACCAGGAACATCTAAGGGGAACACCTGAGGAACATCTGAGCAGCCCCCGAGAGAGCCGGCCAGCGGTGTGCCGCTCCCCCGCGGAAGTGGGGAAAAGTGGCAGGGGGAACCGCCCTTCCACGGAGGTGGAAGGGATGGTAGCCAACCCGGGAAGAACCAGCAGCAAACCCGGGGAGGGCCGAGCAGACAAAAGAACAGCGCAGGGTCCTGTGTCGTTCCTCCACGAAGAGGGGGAGCGACATAATGGTGCCGTGACTCGGATATGAAGCCTAGGCAGGGTTTAGTGTCGTTCCTCCATGAAGAGGGGCAGCGACAGGAAAAATTTTAAAAACTGAACTTTGCTCATCACACATTAAACACAAAATTAATTACATATGGATCATGGAATGAGATATAGTAGTAAAAGCTGCTAGAATGTGGAAGGAAGCATAGGAAAATCTTTTTGACACTGTGTTATGCAAGGGTTTAAAAATATGGACAACGAAGATTAACTGGAAAAAACTGACTTCATTGAAATTAAAAATTTTGCTATTTAACATATATAGGTAAGTATAGACAAAAAATTTGCAAATATTTGCTAAATATGAACAGAGGTATGCGATCTGAGAAAGAACTGTGTATGTCTGTACATAAAAAGCTCACATAACTTAATAATAAGAGAATGAGCAATTTAACTAGAAAATGGACAAAATATTCCAATGTATTCTTCACAAAACAAAGCATAAAACTGGCCACTTCTGAGAAATTCAAAGTCACTGGTGATTAGGTAAAGGCAAAGTAAAGCCATAAAAACATAAACATAAAAGTAAAATGGCACAATTATTTTGGAAAACACTGGCAATTTACAATACAGTTAAACATACACTTACGTATTACCCACCAATATTACTGCTAGCTATTTATTCAAGAGATATGAAAACATGTCCACAAAAAATAGTATATGTGAATATTCACAGCAGCCTTATTTATAGTAGCCAAAATAATGGAAATAACTCAAATGTCCATTAACTGATGAATGGATAAATATGGCATTCCATTCAGCAATAAGAAGGAACAACGTATTAATATATGCAGATGGAAGAACTAAAACATGGATGTCTATATACTATCACTAGAAATGTCAAAACTATGAACAGATCTCTGCTTCCTTGAGAATAGAAAAGAAAGTACCCTACAGAGCACAATGAGGAAGCTTTTTGGAGTGCTGAAAATATTCTTGGGGCCCGTGCTGTGGCGCAGCAGGTTAATGTTCTGGCCTGAAGCGCTGGCATCCCATATGGGCTCTGGTTCTAGTCCTAGCTGCTCCTCTTCTGATCCAGCTCTCTGCTAAGGCCTGGGATAGCAGTGGAAGATGGCCCAAGTCCTTGGGGCCCTGCACCCACATGGTAGGAAGCTCCTGGCTCCTAGCTTCGGATCAGCGCAGCACCAGCCATTGAGGCCATCTGTGGAGTGAACCAGCATATGGAAGACCTCTCTCTCTGTCTCTACCTCTCTGTGTAACTCTTTCAAATAAACAAAATAAATCTTAAAAAAAAAAAAAAGAAAATATTCTTGATTATGCTGATGGTTATCCAACTGCATACAACTCCAAAGTTTTTGAAACCCGTATTTTGTGAATATCTAAATTATACTTCAATAAAACTAAAAATAATAAAGATTTTAAGACCACAAAGATTATTATTGCAATGTCATTTCATAAGAAATGAATAGACAATTATAGAAATACTATCACAACAAATGACTACCCAGTCTTTTTATATTTATATCTAACCCTTAAAGCCAATGAAAACCTAGTCTAAGTATGAGCCACTCAAGGAAACAGACTTAAGTAACACATATTAATAAATCCTTGAGACTTTAAGGATCTTAAGCTGCTATGGTAGCCATGGCAGCTGTTCTGGGTGTGGCCATGGTGGTAGACCTTGAAGTGGTAACAGCTCCAGCAGAGGCAAGTGCAGAAGTAGGGGCTTTCAAATCCTCCTCTTACAGTTCTGATGAAGAGTCTCCATTTACAGGCCCAAGATACTAACAAAACCTGAGTAATCAATACAATTATTGAAGAAGTGACACATAAAGCAAAATTCCTTTTGTCTGTTGTTCCATCAGAAACCAAGAAATGTTATTATTAAATTGCATCAAGATCAAAGAGGCTCCCTTCACACAGGCCAATATATACAGACAGACTGAAAACAAAATCTCCAAAATTGCACTTCAGTCTTAATGGTCTATGGGAACAAGTTTATTCCTTAAAAATGTCTAAAAGGTGTCTTACTGTTTCTGTATTTCTTCTTTTCATTTTATCAGAAAGTTATCTTTAATGGATAAAAGGAAAAAATATTTTACCATTTTCATTTACTAATGAATTTCAGAAAATGTTTTTAATGATGCAGACTTAAACTTAAGATAAACTTCACTAAAAAATGAAATCTTAAGTAGGAAATTAAGTCACCAATAATTCCCTATATTCCTACTTTATGGTAATCTCTGGCCAAGGTACTATGGAAAACACAGAAGCATTCCATATATCCTAGACTTTAAAATACCTCAATCTAATTGACGATACCATAGCCACCTACACTCATGAATATGAGGATATGTGCTCTGATTCAATACAAATCTATTAGATTGCCTGCATCTCCATCTCCAGAGAAACACATTCATGATGCCAATGCAACTTTTTTTTTTTTTTTTGACAGGCAGCGTGGACAGTGAGAGAGAGAGAGACAGAGAGAAAGGTCTTCCTTTGCCGTTGGTTCACCCTCCAATTGCCGCCGTGGCTGGCGCACTGCGCCTATCCGAAGCCAGGAGCCAGGTGCTTCTCCTGGTCTCCCATGCGGGTGCAGGGCCAAGCACGTGGGCCATCCTCCACTACACTCCCTGGCCACAGCAGAGAGCTGGCCTGGAAGAGGGGCAACCAGGACAGAATCCGGCGCCCCAACCGGGACTAGAACCCGGTGTGTTGGCACCGCAAGGCAGAGGATTAGCCTATTGAGCCACGGCGCCGGCTGGCAACGCAACTTTAAGACTTGCAACTAGTAAGCAGGTTGCTTGCAAGCACCAGCACATATGTTCCCAACAATTCAAAAGTTTGCTCAACAGTTCGGCACTGTGGCGTAGTAGGTAAAGCTGCCTCCTGCAGCGTCTGAATCCCATATGGAAACTGGTTAGAGTCCTGGCTGCTCCTCGTCCGATTGAACTCTGCTATGGCCTTGGAAAGCAGTTGAAGATGGCCCAAGCTCTTGGGCCCCTGGCTTCAGATTGGCCCAGTTCCAGCCGTTGCTGTCATTTGGGGAATGAATTAGTGGATGGGAGATTTCTCACTCTTTGTCTCTGCCTCTGCAACTCTGTAACTCTGCCTTTCAAATAAATAAATCTTAATGTTTCTTAATGATGGAATGGTTCCATACTTCAGAGAGAAGAATTACTCCGTTTTTTGATTTGGAGATCTAACTATCATTTAGGCTAATTACCCTCAAATTTATAACTCTAGTTTGGAATTCTGCCATGAATTCCATATTCATATATCTAACAATCTACCTAATATTTCCTCTTGAATATCTAACTACCATCTCAAATTTAACATTTTTATAATTGAGCTTTTGAAACTTTCTATAAACTTGTTCCTCTCATGTTATTTTTCTATCATAGTTAATGCTATATCCATACTTCAGGGAGAGAACAGGACTCATTTCTTTCATAATTTTATCTGAATTGTGAGCAAATCTATAATCTGACCACTTACTAAAGATATTTCACACCATCCTTAGCCTGTGTCAATGCAATGTTTTTCCAAACAATCTCCCTGCTCCCACCTTCTTCCACTTCCCTTCTTTCTATTCTGAATAAAGACAAACATAATCTGATCATACCACTCCTCCTATTAAACTCCCTCATTGCCTTTTTTTTTTTTTTTTTTTTTTGACAGTGAGAGAGAGACAGAGAGGAAGGTCTTCCTTTGCCGTTGGTTCACCCTCCAATGGCCGCCGTGGCTGGCGCGCTGTGGCCGGTGCACCGCATCCGATGGCAGGAGCCAGGTACATATCCTGGTCTCCCATGGGGTGCAGGGCCATCCTCCACTGCACTCCCTGGCCACAGCAGAGAGCTGGCCTGGAAGAGGGGCAACCGGGACAGAATCTGGCACCCCGACCGGGACTAGAACCCGGTGTGCCGGCGCCGCAAGGCAGAGGATTAGCCTAGTGAGCCACGGCGCCGGCCGAGTAAACAAATCTTTTATGGTAATATACCATTATTATATTGGTAATGAAAAGAAAAACATTTAAAATTAAGCATACAGGAATAATGATTAAAATCCCTTTCAGAAAGTATTACTGTGCCCTTTGGCAGTTCTATATTTCTCCTGTTTACATTTTGCAATTCCCAACTAAATAACTGAGTTTTTAATCCTAGTTTCTACAAAAGACAAGTCTAGTTCTTATGATCTCTATTGCTACTTCATTCATATCAGTCTTCCTGTCAAGACTGAACTATTATTCTATTCTCCTGTTCTGTGTCTGGATTCACACTGTCCACGTACAGGAATACTACCCATCTTACCTGACTAGCAATCACCTGAAATTTTGATCTCTAGGACTTTGTCCTCTCCAACAGGCCTGATGTTATTAATCAACACCTTAACTGCCCCATCTTGCAATGTACCTTGTAACTCTAACTAAACTACCCATTTGTTCCTCTGGAGTTCATATCCTTTGTTAATCATCTTAGTGGTCATTCATAAGCATCTGAAGGATCTGAAGGATACTAGAACTAGCCCTTGCCCTCGGGATTCTGATATGGCAACACATGGAAAGTTTTGTGTATGGGTATATTTTCTCTTTGTACCTCAGCTGAATATCAGTGCCATGGTAAAACTGTTACTGATGGCCGACGCCATGGCTCACTAGGCTAATCCTCCGCCTTGCGGCGCCAGCACACTGGGTTCTAGTCCCGGTCGGGGTGCCAGATTCTGTCCCAGTTGCCCCTCTTCCAGGCAAGCTCTCTGCTGTGGCCAGGGAGTGCAGTGGAGGATGGCCCAAGTGCTTGGGCCCTGCACCCCATGGGAGACCAGGAGAAGCACCTGGCTCCTGCCATCGGATCAGCGCGGTGCACTGGCCGCATCGCGCCAGCCGCAGCGGCCATTGGAGGGTGAACCAACGGCAAAAGGAAGACCTTTCTCTCTCTCTCTCTCTCTCTCTCACTATCCACTCTGCCTTTAAAAAAAAAAAAAAAAAAAAAAAGAAAAGCAAAAAAAACCCACAACAAAACAAAGCAAAAAAACAAAACTGTTACTGATACTGGCAGGTATTGTTCAGATATGGTACAGCTGGAGAAAAGGCTGCAAACTCTTGTGTTAGCCACTGCCTTTATCCCCTACCCAAGAGATCCATGTTGTCACACAGTGGCTCTGCATGCCTCATTCAAGGTATCATAGTTTTCTAGTCATCCTCAAACCCTCTACAAATCTGGATAAACACATTAAAGAGTTTCTAATATCTTATATAATAATCACAAGAAAGAAAAATCCTCTATTACCAGCACAGATCAAGTAGGGGTAAGAAAAACAGCTATTTTTATAAGATATGGGTAATTACTAGTTATACTTTATAATTTATTTTCAGAGATCACTATCTTTCATCAAAACTATTTTTCCAAATGAGAATACATTAGGATTAAGATATTATGAAACAGGGGCCAGCATTGTGGCATAGCAGGTAAAGCCACCATCTGCAATGCTGGCATCCCTTATGGGTACAGGTACGTGTCCTGTCCAATCCAGGTTCCTATTAATGGCCTGGGAAAAGGAATGGAGGATGGCCCAAGTATCCAGGGAGACCTACCTGGGAGGCCTAGATGAAGATCCTAGCTCCTGGCTTTGTCCAGGGTAGTGAACCAGTGGATGAAGGATCTCTCTGTCTCTCTGTGTCTCTCCCTCTCTCTCTCTGTGACTCTGCCTTTTAAATAAGTAAGTTCTTTTTTAAAAAAAAACTTATTTACTTAAAAGGCAGAATCACACACACGCACGCACACACACAGAGAGAGAGAGAGAGAGAGAAATGCAAAGACAGAGAGGGAGATCTTCCATCCTCTGGTTCAACACCCAAATGGCCACAATAGCTGGAGCTGAGCTGATCTGGAGCCAAGAGCCTCTTCAGGGTCTCCCATGTGGGTGGCAGGGGCTCAAGTACTTGTGCCATCTTCTGCTGCTTTCCCAGGCATGGTAGCATGGAGCTGCATCAGAAGTGGAACAGTCCAGACACAAACCGGTGGCCATATGGGATTCTGGTGCCACAGACGGTGGCATTACCCACTATACCACGGCGCTGCCTCATAAATAAATAAATCTTAAAAAAATTTTCTTTATGTCATTATAATGAGGCAGGTATCCTATACCACAGCTTGTAACTTGGATCCTGAGAACACCTAGAGGCTAACAATTGCATAGGATGTCATTTTATAATTCTGCCTCAAGTTGGAATTACAATATATCAAAGAGAATTACCCTTAACTTCTATCCATTCCAAAAGAGAAACATTTGTAGCAACATGTTATTAGTTGTATCTTCCTTTTTACCATAACAATTTATAATTATAGCACACTGGGGGAATAAGAGCATATGTTTAAGGGATCTCTTGATTAAAGGATCTGATGTTTAAAAGATTCTACTATTTACTGATATTTTAAAGACTAGTTATTGTAGAAAATGAAATTTGAGTGATATTAAACATATAAGGAAATACTCTTACCTGTTTGATTCCACAGTAATCAGCAATACTGCTGATCAGCTCTGACATTGCCTGAACTTCATGAGATTTTTTCACATTCATAAACTCAACTGGCTTCACATTTTCACCTGAATGAAAATAAACAAGATTAACATACTGCCATCAAAGAAGAAAAATTTAATAAGAATTATCAGTTGAGTCACATTGTTTCAAGTTAAAAATGGAAATACAGAGATTTTATTGTGGTGTCTAGATGTCAGATCTTTATAGGATTAGCCACTTTGAGTCAAATTTGAAATAAAAATAAATTAAAGGATTACTAAACTATTACTAACAGTTGGGGTTGGTGTTATAGCTATACTTAAAATGCTACCATCCCACATCAGAGAGCAAGTTCAAGTCCTGTATGATCTACTTCTGATCCAGCTCCTTACCAATGCTCCTGGGAAAGCAGTAAAAGATGGCCCAAGTACTTGGGCTCCTTCCATCTAGACAGGAAACCCAGATGGAGTTTTTGGTTCCTGTTTTTGGCTTGCCCCAATCCTGACCATTGCAGCCATTTATTGAGTGAACCAGTGAATGAAAGATTTCTTTCTCTCTGTCTCTCCCTATCTCTCTGTCACTTTGTCTTTCAATGAATGCAATAAATCTTTTTTTAAAAAAAGAATAGTAGAGGGGCCAGCGCTGTGGCTCACTCGCTTAATCCTCCGCCTGCGGTGCCGGCATCCCATATGGACGTTGGTTCTAGTCCTGGCTGCTCCTCTTCCAGTCCAGCTCTCTGCTGTGGCCCGGGAAAGCAGTGGAGGATGACCCAAGTGCTTGGGCCCCTGCACCCGCATGGGAGACTGGGAGGAAGCTCCTGGCTCCTGGCTTCGGATTGGCGCAGCTCCGGCCATTGCGGCCACTTGGGGAGTGAACCAACGGAAGGAAGACCTTTCTCTCTGTCTCTCTCTCTCACTGTCAGTAACTCAACCTGTCAAATTAAAAAAAAAAAAAAATAGTAGTAAGAGTCCTTCTTGCAACAAAAATTAATTAATTATAAAGAAAAAGATTGATAAATTGGACTACAAAGAAATTTTTTCACCAAAATATAATCATTAAGAAGGTGAAAAAAGCAAGCCAAAAGTAAAATGGGCAAAATATCTGAACAATCACTTCACTATCTGTGCTGTCCAACATAGTTGCTACTAACCACATACTATTAACTTTACATTTAAAATAACTTTGCAAGTTAGATAAGATTGCAAGTTAAGTTTCACAGCTACCCTAGCCACATTTGAAGGGCCAAACTGCCATACATGGCTAATTTCTACTGTACTAAGCAGCACAGCAACAGAATATTTCCATCACTGTACAACATGCTACAAGATAGCACCTTAGAGTATACACCACTATACATTATAAAGCATACTGAAATGGATAAAGAGCATATGACAAGGTAGTCAACACCAGCAGTCATGAAAGAGTTGGGTGGTGGGGAATTGAAATGTAGGGCTGGGATGGCTATTATGGTATGACAGTGTTCACATTTGAGAATGCCTTGATGTAGGCTTACCCTGGTATCATCACTTTGGGAAACTGGGTTTTCAACAAGGTCTTTCCAAGTATAAGTGGTGGTTACTCAGGGTCCTGTAGATGGAAGCCAGAAACTTCTTGGTAACACACCAACAGCACTTTAGGACATGGTCTCTGTTAGAGAGGTTTGGATTCCACAAAGGGCAAAGTGCTATACTGCTGGCAGACACTAACCTAGCAAACAGAACTACAATAAATTTAGCAAAATATTAAAAATGTGAATCTAAGAGAAAAGTTTACAGGATTCACTGTACTGTTCTGCAACTTTTCTGGTTTAGAATTTTTCAAAATTAAAAGGTGAGTTAATAGATATGAAAGACCTTTGCGATGATAAAGAGGGTGTGAGATTATTTTATTATTCATGTAGTAATATCTATTAGATTATTATTGTTATTATTATAGCTGATTCTTTACTCAGGTTTGAAGAATAGCTTTTTTTTAAAACCAGACATCTGATCTTTTTTAATTGTGGAGTACAGAGTTTATTTATCATAATTATGATGCGGTTGAGTTTTAATCTATGATGTTGCTATTTGGTTTTTCATTTGTCCCATTTTCTGATGGTCATCTCATCTCCAACCATCCCCTTCCATTCCTCTTATCTGCTTTCCCACAAAAATATTGACCTTGAAGAACATTAGCCTACTGCAACAAAAACAGATGCACAGATTTTGCAATCTGTAGTAGCCCACCACAATTCATGTTTCGAGGGCCAAGAACTATATGGAGTAATGGTTGCCAGGGTTAATGTAGGAAAAAATGTAGAAATCTTTGAAATGTTCTGTCTAATATGGAAACAAGAAAAACTACTTTTCTAGGTAATAGCTAATTTATCAGAGCTTATGACAGAGAATCTAACACTAAATTAAAAGCATATTGGAAAGATATCTACGTAGTGATGAACACTATAAAAATCACTCATACTTACACATAAACACACATACCAGTTTTCTGCTTTTGATTTCCTTGAAGGGCTACAAGCAACTGTTCAAAAGGAGTACATATTCCCAAGTTCTGCATGGAAAAACATTTTGCAGCCAGAGCAAAGGCTTCTGCACTCACCAGCTTCTGAGAAGTTTCACTAAATATTTTGGGAAAATCAGTAATACCTAAAAAATCAGGCAGAAAAGGAACATGAATAATAATTAATAGCTCATTTATATATATCTTAAAACAGTAAATGAATACCATTGGATTTTTAGAACAAATTACAATATTTTTCATTGTGGTGTAAAATTTTGGAATTTCTGATTGAGCATGTCCCAAATTGTACATCTCCTCCCTCTCTTATTCCCACTCTTATATTTAACAGGGATCACTTTTCAGTTAAATTTAAACACCTAAGAAGAATTGTGTGTTAATTACAGAGTTCAACCAATAGTATTAAGTAGAACAAAAAAAAATACTAAAATGGATAAAGTATTAAATTGTACATCAATAGTCAGGACAAGGGCTGATCAACTCACTGTTTCTCATAGTGTCCATTTCAAGTTAGAAATGTGCCAGGGGATTCCAATTCAATCCCATCAAGGTGGCATGTACCAATGCCATCTCACTAGTCCAAGTGATCAATTTCAGTTCACAACTGATCATACTGATAGGTCTAAGATTCAAAGGGATCACATAAACAAGACTAGTATCTGCTAATACTAACTGATAGAATAAAAAAGGGAGAGAACAATCCAACATGGGAAGCGGAATACACAGCAGACTTATAGAATGGCAGATGTCCTAAATAGCACTCTGGCCTCAGAATCAGCCCGTAAGGCATTCAGATCTGGCCGAAGAGCCCATGAGAGTATTTTAGGCATGGAAAGCCAAGACACTCTGGCAAACAAACAAACAAACAAACAAAAAACCCAAAACCCTAAATGAAAGATCTCTGCGAGTGAGATCCCAGTAGAAAGAACAGGCCAGCAAAGAAGGAGGTACCTTTCTCTGCTGAAGGGAGGAGAGAACTTCCACTTTGACTGTGACCTTGTCTAAATAAGATTGAAGTCAGCGAACTCAAAAGGCTTCCATAGCCTTGGCAACTCATGATAGAGCCTAGGGAGATTACTGACGTCATAAACAAGGGTGTCAAATTGTTAAGTCAACAACAGGAGTCACTGTGTACTTACTCCTCATGTAGGATCTCTGTCTTTAATGTGTTGTTCAATGTGAATTAATGCTATAACTAGTAGTGAAACAGTACTTTACACTTTATGTTCTGTGTGGGTACAAACTGATGAAATCTTTACTTAATACATACTAAATTGATCTTCTGTATATAAAGATAATTGAAAATGAATCTTGATGTGAATGGAATGGGAGAGGGAGCGGGAGACAGGAGGGTTGTGGGTGGGAGGGAAGTTATGGGGGGGAAAAGCCATTTTAATCCATAAACTGTACTTTGGAAATTTATATTTACTAAATAAAAGTTTAAAAAAAAAAAGAAAATCTAAACATTCCAACAACCAAGACAGAGAAAAAAAATTTGGAATTTCTGTACTGGTCCCTTTCATATGCTTGCTATTTGAACTATTAGCCAAGAAAGAAAAGAGAAAAAGAAATATTAAAGTCTGAACAGTAATGTACTTATCTAGTTTATGAACTGTCTAAGATAACCTACAGCTGAGTATTTGAAGGAAGTCAGCTTGTGTAACACTGTTATTCCCAATCCACAATGCATGTGGAACAATGGTAAAAACCTTAGGGTAAAAATGTTCTTGAAAACAAGTTCACGCATCATCTGGGCCACGCGGAAGTGTGTGTGGTGTGTACATATGTTCAATACAGTCAACATAACAGTTCTTAAACTAATCAGGTAATGATCTGGTGAAAACAGGTCATTTTATTTTCTTTTTTTTTTATTTTCTCTCTCTCTGACAGGCAGAGTGACAGTGAGAGAGAGAGAGACAGAGAGAGAAAGGTCTTCCTTTGCCGTTGGTTCACCCTCCAATGGCCGCCGCTGCAGCCGGCGCACCGCGCTGATCCTGGCAGGAGCCAGGAGCCAGGTGCTTTTCCTGGTCTCCCATGGGGTGCAGGGCCCAAGCACCTGGGCCATCCTCCACTGCACTCCCTGGCCATAGCAGAGAGCTGGCCTGGAAGAGGGGCAACCGGGACAGAATCCGGCGCCCCGACCGGGACTAGAACCCGGTGTGCCGGCGCCGCAAGGTGGAGGATTAGCCTATTGAGCCACGGCGCCGGCTAGGTCATTTTATTTTCACAGTGAGTTTTAAACCACACATCCTTAAATCTAATGCAGTAAGGCTCATGAACTTAAAATAGTATGGAAAAATGCCGTACTATTCACGAACATACATTGACTCTTCTGTTTGAGGATTACACATCATATTGAACTCAGGAGTGTTTAAATCTTGTTCATGCAAACTGAAATGAAAAAAACATTTTCAGTCAGAAGTTTTATGAGTTATCAGAAGAGTCACTAACTTTTTTTCCAGCTCTGTAATTGAAGAAGTGTGTGTGAAGATGGAACTTCCCTCAACCTAAATCTCTGAAGGATTACAATAAGGATAGCATTGTTACCAAACTACAAAGGCACATGCAGCATACACGAAAATACACTTTACTGCTTTCAGTCGCTCAGGTTTTGGCATATTGCTACAGCACAGTCCCACAGATTCTGATGCAAGTACATTGGTATCCTGACAGAATTATGCAATCTTAGTAATCTATGGCCATTTTCAAGACTTTTCAATTTATGAGTTTAAAAAGGGCATTCCAATTCATCCGTAGTGGTTCTAAGAAATTCTTTAGACAAATGAGTCCTAGCAGATGACTCACTGAAAATTACTTTTAATACTTGAAAAAAAATACCCAGACTTAGTGGTTAAGTGAAAATATTCACCTAAGGAGAAAGTATGGTGCCATCTAGGAAACAATTGCAGTCCTACCAAAAAAAATAAAAAATTAAAAAATTATAAAACAAGCCATACTATCTGCTATGAAGTTTTCTCTTGCATAGTTTATCTCACAGTTCTTAATAAAATTAAAAATATCAACCTAGACAAACCTGAAAATAAGAAAACTGATGGCATACAAAATTTAAAATAAAAAAGTATATATTTAAGCTTCTATTTTTTTAAAGCTAGGATCTATTTCTATTATGTTGGTAGTGGTAATATTGATCAAATCTATTGATAAGATGAACACAGGCAGGAATGTGAAAATTAGATATTTGACTGAACTAAACAGAAATTTAAATTACAAAATTACTGTACTGACTTTATTTAACATCCATTTCATGTATTATATACAAAGTTCTGTGGACATTTTACACTGAATTTACTAAGGCAGCCAAAAGCAATAAAATCTACGTCAAAATATTTAGGCATGCTACAGAAGGGAAAACTCAGTCAACTATTACGTGAGACTCTCAGGTTTAAGAGCAGTCTCAACATCCCCAAGTTCCAGGGCAGCAATTTCTTATAGTGTGATAGAATAAGAGCATTAAATCTCAAAGTGCAGAGGGACTATTATAATAGTCAGTTATTGGACAAAGTTGCCAACAGAAAGAAATGTGATGTTTCTGTTGGAGAAGTAAAGGTTCAAACCAACTTAACCATCCTACTGAAAATCCTTGAAAAAATTCCAATCTAATCTGAATTAAATGTTGTTAATTTGGGTTTAGTTATAGGACTCCCAGTAATTTCAGGGAGCCCTAAATTACAGGTCTAAATTATAACTATATTACCTGATCAGCAATGATTTTTTTTTAAAAAAGTATAGTGTTCTTATTCATTCCACTAGTTTACTTGGACAGTCTAGAACTCTATGAAAAACATCTTTGACTTATGGAAATACATTTGCTGTACATTTTTTGCTTTCAAGTGATCCAGACAGTAACTTCTGTGACTTTTTATTTTTAGAGGTTCAGAGAGAGAGGAGCGTACTGAATGGTCTTGTCTTTACTTCCATCCCTGACACAGTATGTGAGAAAGTTAAGTGGCAGTATATCTATCTAGCCTTCACAGTGCTTCCCCAAGTACTTGTATAATCAGTTTGAGTGTGGCAACCAACAAACCAGAAACCACTGCATCGTTTAATTTACATTTAGTTACTTCTTAGGTTTTTCAAAGGAGGAAAGCTTTGTGTTTAAATTTGCTGCTCACTGCACCTGCATATTTGGTGGCTTGATTCTTTTGCCCATATCTCCCTCTACTGGAAGTTCCTGTTCAGGTTCTAATTTAACATATGCTTATCTTGTAATTTAACATATGCTTATCTTCTTTTTATTTTTTGTTCAGTCTTGATAGAAAAGTCATATACACATATTTGATTAAGAAAATCTAAAGGTACACAAATGCATAATAAAATTTCAAAACTAAAAATAAGAACAATGAATGTATATTAATTAATCCATAAAACAAAATTTAAAACATGAAAGTTATCTGAGTGTTATCCAGCAATTTAAGGAAGATGATTACTGTTAGAATTCATAATACCTCATGACCATTATTGCTAACCGTTAATGCATATATTCCATGTACCAGATACCATGTTAAACACTTTACCTTTCAGGGGACAGTTTTATGAATTACATAGTGCTCTCATAGCCATTTGGAGAGGAAAAAACTGAGACTTAGGAGGCTACACTTTACCCAAGTTTGCACAGAGCGTGGCAGGGCATGTTACAGGGCAGTCTGACATCATACTTTACTCTCAATTCCTGCATTGTATTAGCATGTCACTATAGTAATTACAATGGATAATAAAGGAAATCAACCAGAACAACACTAATGAAAAGGATTAGGTTCTGAGTCAATCATGGCAAGAATTCTCTCTGGTAGAAATCAATAACTGAAACATCTTAAGATACTGCACACTCATTTTAACATCTAAATTCTTCCACTTTCTTCATTCCCCCACTCCATGAGAAGTAATCTTAAAGCTTTGATAAATTTTAAAGAAATAATTTTTATATATACAACAACTGAAAGGTCTCTGAAAAGGGGATAACATATTTCAATAAAATATTATTGTGGTACCTAGTTCTAGAAACAAAGTGATGGTACTGTTTCATGCCTAGAATTTCAAGAAGAAATTAACAGTTCCTTGTCAACAATAATCTTCACGAGGACATAAAAATACTCTATATCCATTTCTA